TGGTTGTTAAAGTTGGGTAGGATGGATGCCGGGTTGATGATCACTACCATAAGACGTGTTGACGACGTCCCATTTAAAATCGTTAAAAATACACGGTGAACACATGGTAAGATCTAAGCAACTAAAAGTGCGTGAGGTTGGTGAAAAGTAGGTAAAAGCCCCGGAATTAAGAAGGCAGATGTTATTTGATAAAATGAAATCTTCCACAGCTAGCCCTCTTGCATCAGTTTTGTCGCTACCCCAAAGGGTTGAATGAGCATTGAAATCCCCAACTAAAATAAATGGTTTTGGCAACTGTTCCACTAGATTTTCTAGGTTTTTGGTGGTGAAAAGGGTGTGAGGTGGGATATACATTGAGCAGATGGTGATGGCTTTGTATGATAGAATGGTGACGGCTACGGCCTCGAAAGATGTGTTTATTTGGACATCTCGCGTAGGCGTGCTGCCCTGCATGACTACGGCTACTCTTCTTGAAAGACGGTTGCAATGTTCGCGGTCCTTTCGGGCAACTTTGAAGCCTTTTAGCAAATGGCCGTGTTTTGCACCAAGATTTCTCTCTTGGAGGCAAAAGGCTACTGGTGAGAATTTGTTAATGATGTCCTTTATGTCACCTAAGTTATGAATTAAGCCTCTACAGTTCCAATGTACGAAAAAAGCCATGGTGGAATAAAGTTAAGTAAATATACTTCTGGGGATTGATCGGTATGAGTAAAGATGATAGGTGACAATACTAAGAAATAGAAATAGAGAGAAATACGATAACCGTTACAGTTATCGCTTACTTATTGTCGTTACTGGGACTTTGTCCTTGTCCTGTTTGGCATGCTCGAGAGAGAGCGTGTCCTTCGGTGTCGATGACACCAGAGTTTTGTGGTCAATCTCCATTGCCTTGTCTGAGGCGCTGGCAGATCGAGAGTGAGGCGCTGAGAAACAAACGGATCTCAGGCCTTGGCACTCTATTGAGTTTAGGGCCCAGGGAGACCAAAGTCTGCGGGCCCTTTGATGTGCATGGAGCAGCTGGCGCTGCTTCGTTTAAGGGGGCAGTTTGAGTCACCACAGGACCACTGGGTGTGGTAGCGGTCAACTCCTGAGGCCTTTGTGACGCTGCCCCCGACTGCGTCACATCGGCCTAACTTCTGTGGAAAAGGTATGATAGCCGTGTTCGCGCTTCGCTAAATGATATTTTTTCTTTGACGGTCAGAGCGATCACTTCTTTTTCTTTTTTCCAACATGGGCATGACCGGAATACGCTGGGTGTTCCCTGTCACAGTTAGCACAGTGGGGTGAGGATGAGCAGTTTTCTGATTTGTGGTCGTTTGCGCTGCATTTTGCGCGTTTCTTTGCCTCTGCATGAGTGCGAGGCGTGTCCGAATCTTTGGCATTTGAAACAGCGTCTGGGGTTGGGGATGTAGGGCCCGACGTTTATTTTTATGTACCCAGCCTTAAGAGAGGTGGGCATTTCACTTGTTCCAAAGGTTAGTATTACGTGTTTGGTGGGCACTTCCCGATTATTGTGACGGATTACTATTCTTTGGACTTTTATGACATTTTGGTCTTGGAATCCTTCGAGGAGCTCTTCGTCACTAAGGCCTAAGAAGTCTTCCTCAGAGATTACTCCCCTGCTGGTGTTTAGAGAGCGATGGACCGAAACGGTGACAGCTGTTTCTCCAATGCTGGTTAGTTGGAATAGCTTTGGCACTTGGTCTTTTTCGGTTAGCTCCAAAAGGAGGTCACCGCTTGACGTTTTGGATGCTTTGTATGTGGGTCCTATTTTTTCTTTTAGGCACTTGGCCACCAAAAGTGGGGATAGTTTTCTTAGAGGCGTGCTGTCGCTGTAGATAATGTAGTACTTCGCGAAAGTAACTTTAGTTTCTGTCGAGAAGTGATAACTTGCTTTGGTGCGGCCTCTCTTACGAGACCGATCAAGGTTGGCGGATGCTTGTGAAGCCATAGAAGTATGAATGTGTTCGGTAACAACGGTGACCACCCACCACGGCGCCCAACAAGGGGACGCGGCTGGACTTGTTGAACAAGTCCTCCCGACGCCAGCCGTACGCTGTCACTATAACCCAATGTAATTATCCAAGGTGGGATACTTACACAAGGTTAACCCTTGCCGCCATGAATATCGGAAGTCAACAGAAGTGAGGAGAGGACAGGAAAGATAAAAGTGCGAGAAAAAGACGAAGATGCAGGAGAAGAGAGACAGGAAAAGGCGACTGCAGATTTCCCCTAGATGGGATAGCCCAGGGGTGCCGTCTACGTGAAGCCGAGGCCAAAGGGGTGTGTTGCCTCTGCCGGGGGGCCTTAAAGGTCCAATCTCCTGGCGTCGGCTCAACCCCCAGGATCCCCTTTTCCCCGGACCCGGCAAAGCCACGCACGGCTAGGCGTGGGAGGGAAGTCAACCCCCCCCCCCCCCTGTTAGCTCGAGTCCGTGGTGTCGCTACACACCAAACGCCTGCTTACGCAGACGCCCCTGCGGGCCATGGTTGCAATGAAACACATGAATTCCCTAGGTGTTGGCCGTGAAGTCCTTAGCCCACTAGCCATGCTTCCAGTACTGCCTTCCGGCGCTGCCCCGAAGCCTCGCCATCGCCGCCTCGCACTTTGTTCATTGTACGATTGGCGTGATGGTTCACATCTGGTTTAACCGCTGCGCCATGCTCTCTACAGGGCTGCAAAAATTAGGTGCCTTCTTTTTCTAACCACTACCACTACTTGGTTGTGTGTGGTTGCAAAGATGTCACGCCAGCAGAACTACACAGGTGCCAAGTGAACCAGACAGGCGCGAAGCGATACTTCTTTATGACGACTCGAGCAATCGTGCCGTGCAGCGCGAGTTCTGTGTAAATGAGACGTTGATTAGAGGTTGCAAAAGCAGCGGGACCGTCTGTTTGCGTGCAAATGTTGGCGTTGTGCCTTTCAGGGCCCAGCAGTCGGCAGCAAGGATGACGAGGTTTGGAAAGTCGCGGATGCTTGCAAAGAATCCGATGACATCATCTTGCACATCTGACAAGATGACGGCCCCGGCAGCAATTATTGCACTGAGCTATGTAAACAAAGGTGTGCTACGTTTCAATTTCTGTTTCCAAACTAAAAAAAAGCATTAGTCGACTTATATTCGAATAGTTTCTTTTTCTCTTGTAGAACACTATAAGTAGGGGCCGACCTATATTCGTGCCCGACCTATTTTGGAGTAAATACGGTAAAAGCGGGCAGTGGTGTCACTGCCCTAACCCTTCGCTGCGCAGCCATGGCCCTCCACACGTCGACAGATTGGGCATTTGCCAGGGTAGCTGTCACCAGTTTCTCCTGAAAACTTTTATTGCGTTGCAGTTCAGAGGATATTGAATGGGCGGTCGGTCGCACCGAAGCCCGGTTGGTCGCATAGCGTGTCTTTCCGCGTGTACTGTACCTGAAGCTGGTTGGAGTTGCTGGCGGTCTTGGAGTTGGAGTACTGGTGCTTTCCGCGTGTACCTGAAACTCGTTGGATTTGCTGGCGTTAGGGTTGTGAAGCCCGTCAAAAGTGAAGTCAGTCTGGGGAGACAATGAGGTGAGAGGAATTGTGAGGGCGGTCAACGGTGAAGTTGCTGCCCGCAGCGGCGCCAAGGCCAGAGGTGTTGCGAGGCCGATAGAAAGTAAAGGTGCTTGCTACGACATCGAGGCGAAAGGGGTCGAGAAGCAAGTCGAAGGCGAAGTCACCGCCTGCTGCCATGACGAGGTGAGAGGAGTCGGGAGGCTATTCTAAGACGAAGTTGCGGCCTGCTCAGACGCCGAAGCAAGAGGAGACGATAGGCCTAATGAAGACGAAGTTGTCTGCTTCAACGTCGAGGCCAGAGGGGTCGATTGGCTGATCGAAGACGACGTAGCGGCGGGCTGCGATGCGAATGTAGTGGTAGTGATAGTGACTGATATGAGTCGGGTTGGTGGCCGCAGCTTCGAACTCGCTGGCTGTGGTAAGGTCCGCTACGAACTCTTCGCAATGAAGAGCAGCCTGGATGTCTTTGTTTAAGTCCACGAGCACAGCGTTCTTCGCGAAGACAAGGCGACTACATCTTCGAGCTTTTCAAGATGATTTGACAAGTCTTCCAGTAGAGCACCGAGCGATAAGATGTGTTTGATAGTTTTTCGAGCGAAGTGGCGCTTGGTGATGAGTTGATCCATGGCTGAGAGTCAAGGACCAGATAACCTGGTGGATTTCGGCACCAGAAAGAAGTGCGAAAAACGGAAAGGGAGACCCGGATCCGAGCGACTGGCAACATCCAAGGTCAACGGAACAAGTGAGTGTGCCAGTGCACGTGGCTGTCACTCTCCTCTTTTTTGTAACAGTGACGACAGCATCGCTCAAGGGTAACAGTGAGCGACAGCGTTGCTCAATGTTTGCGGTTTGAATTAGATGTTTGTCACTCATTGTAGTGATGTTGTTAGGCATCGTGACCTATGCTTCGAAAGCAAGACGTTCTGGTGCTCCGAGCAGGTGAGCTCTGCTATCAATCCAGCGATCATTAGAATAAAAAGGGGGGGGGGGGGAGGGGGGCTGCGATCCTGGCAATAGGCGACCCCACTTGAGCATATATGCCTTCCCGTCCTTCACGAACAAAAAATTCTTCGGAGCCGATAGCAGTAGCGTATGAAAGCCGACTAAAAATGTTTTATTATCAGGCAAAGCTATGTTGCTGAGCAAGAGCCACATGGCAACCCTGTATCTACTGTAATGGCACTGCGCTGTTAATAACAGCAGCTAGTGATGAAGTCTTCTGTAAACATGCTGGCGAATGCATTCAGCGAGCGTTCACAAGCACAACTAACGGCCCCATACATCTGAGCGAAATCGAAGCGATCGTCACATGGCAACTGCTACCCCGCCCCCCTTCAGCAAAGTTTCAATATTATAGACTTCACGTAAAACAGACTTATTGTGCCGGATTATGATCATCTGTTGTAACGAGAGTACACTGTAATTACACATATAGAGCACGGCAACTACTGTCTGTGCTCACCAAGTTCTCCAGGTCGTGGAAGTTGTCATCGATGGCTGCCAGGGCGTGGTTCCCATCTTCTGACCCGCCAACATTTCCTGCATCAATGACGATGGTTGAAGCATAACAGCAAGCACAAGCTGTTGGCCCAGACCCAAGCTATTTCTTTTAAAAAAATAAAATTCCCCTAAATCACCTTTTATAACTCTTAAGCATGTCAAGTAAATGCACACAATGAGTGCACACACTAAAAGCAGCAAGCGTGCCAAAAAACAATTCTTTCTCCTGTCCAGCCATGTGTTAACCATGACATCCAAAATTCAAAATATGGTTCTGTCGTCCACAGAAAGAACCAATTTGTCCGCTTTGAGGTAGGCGCAATTGCCACTGTTTCCTTTGGAGCACTCGACCAGGAGGCCAACGAAGCAGAGAGTGAAGAGAGCATCAAGCCTACGTAGCTCTGCTATTTCACTGCATTGTTTCGAAAAATTTTCATGGCAGCTTGTCTGCTGCACAAGTGCAACTCAATTTCAACCTATGAGTAGTTAAGGAGCCCTTTAACGCTGTCACCCCACTCACAGGATAATTGAATTGTGCATCAATCTGACATATGCGGCACAGTACTCATGCATTTCATGTCCCCTATGTGCGTAGTTTTGTAGTTCTCGAATTATATATGTTGGGGAAGTTTGACACATTTCTTGACTGATCACAGCATCCTGCTTGCCTGCCAGAGCACATTTCTATGCCATTCAAGTGTTAGCTCCTAACTGCACTATATCAGTACAATGGGCCCATATTTTCTGGGGGCTAGTGATTTCTCGTTAACATGTAAGAGTGTGGTTACTGCCACAGTAACAAGAGACATTCTAATAGCAAAGGAACAGGCAGGCCTGCCGATAACCAGATGCTACCATATGCTATCGATCAATGACGCCAATGAGTAGTTAGTGCATTTTACAAACAAATGCAAGAAACTATTGCATGACTAGCGAAAATGACTTCTTACCTCAGCTACAATGTAACTGAGATAGAAGCTAGCATGTAGCTTATTTCTTATAGGTAGTAATTTTGCTTTTAGTAGTGCGGAATAGTTTTTCACTAAACATTTTAATCCTAAGTTATATCACTGCATGGCCCATTTGGGAGAAAATACTGTGCAAAATGACAGTGGCTTCTCAATCAAATGTCCAAAAGCCATCACAAGCCATTGCCCTCACTATCATGGGCAGTTCCAGAAACCTTACACCCAAAGAGATGAGAACAAGCTACAAGTGCAAATTTTTACATAACTGAGCTTTAAACTTGGGTCAATTGGCAACCTGCAATAAAATGAAGACAGCATACCTAGGACGTCAAAGTCCAGCTTGTCGTTCTGTGGTGTAGTGGCCTCCTGCAGGAGGGCGTGCATCTGCTCAGCCGACAGCACTGAGTCCAGCTTGAGCAGCGGCTGCTCTTGCGAAGACATGCTGCCGCTGCTGCTGGGCCCACCAGCTGTGAGAGACCAGTGCATGCCCGATCACAAAAGATTATGCCTCCCCAACATGAGGGTGTTGCAGCAGCAAAAGCTCTTTCAATAACTCTTTCATCATCATGGGAATGCAAGATTCTGTAATCATTTATACAAGTAACAGAAGCAGAGTGTAAGTTTTGGGGCCTTAGAATAAAACTACACTCTCAGAACACACGCACACAGTAGACGCCGTCGAGCAAAGAACTTGTACACGTGTAAAACCTTTTTACATCATGCCGAGCTAACCAGCCGAACCTGCTCATATAATGCCAAGAGGATACACAAGCACAATGCACACAAAACAACGTAACACATACAATGTACCGCGAATGCAGCACTCCCAACACCGAACTCATCACGAGGGCCTGACCCATGACCTAACAGAGTCGTCTATTTACGCACGCTGCCAAACCCCAAAAAACGACTCCTTGCTGTTCCTTGGGCGCTGGCCTAACCTCTCTCTCCAACCAGGCTGATGCTACCGCACTAATAGCACCCCGCTACATCCAACAGCCTATTATGCGCAAGAGGCACATTTGCCATGAAAAGCAAACAACGTTAATAATTGTTCGAGCTGAACGTTCCAAAACCACCATATGATAATAAAAAGACGTCATAGGGGAGCATTCCAGAAATTTTGACCCCCTGGGGTTCTTTAACATGCACCTAAATCTAGGCACACAGGCCTCAACCATTTTAACCTCCATCGAAAATGCGGCCACCGTGGCCAGGATTCAATCCCGCGACCTGCGGGTCAGTAGCCAAGCGCCTTAGCCACTAGACTACTGTGGCCGGTAGCAATTGACGTGATAGGCGGCGATAGCCCTCCCACAAAATACACAAGTTCAAAAAAAATTGCAGCTTGAAAATGTGGCGTCAGTGGAGCCAATCTTTCCAACTGCAGTAGCGCGTCAATCAAAAATGCATCTGTCTGTCTTCGCGCGTGTATGGTTTACATCCTCTTCTGAGACACATACAAAGAGGAGGAAAGAGCAAGTAGGGCAGAAGGGATCACTTTGCATGAATTAGGGGGAGTAAAAGAGAAAAAAGTGAGGGTTTGATTCATGTTGAAAGGGTAGACCACCTTACAATAATTTCATGGTGATATGAACAGTAATACATTCCTAAAGAAAGAGAGAGGCCTAACTCTCATTAGTTCTACATTGTGTATCTACCATATCGAATAGGTTCAAGAGCCCCTTTGAAACGTTTATTGTTACTGGCTGGAGTGTATCAAACTGTGAATAGGGTGCGACTTTTTATATTATGGAATAAATACACAGTGCCAAAAACAGGGATAAAAAAAAAAAGCAAACACCACAAGTGCTGCACTCGTTTGCTCTTTAAATATTATCTTTCAATGGAGGACAGGAAGTTTCATTGAAGTATGCAAGGTTTAAGTACATTAAGCTTGCCACCTGCTATATTAAAATGCCGTGATATGGCTCTCTGTAGTTAATTAGCCGTGTCCACGCGACGCCTTTCTCACCCAATTTTACAGGCTGCCCTATTTTGGCACCGCAATGTTTGTGGCGACGCGAATGTTTGATAATGTGAGGCTCCAACTTTCTCTTCACACCCTGCACCCCCCGCCCCCTAAACAAGCTCGGCAATCCATAGATGATTGATTTGTGGGGTTTAACGTCCCAAAACCACCATTTGATTATGAGAGACGCCGTAATGGAGGGCTCCGGAAATTTTGACCACCTGGGGTTCTTTAACGTGCACTCAAATCTGAGTACACGGGCCTACAACATTTCCGCCTCCATCGGAAATGCAGCCGCCACAGCCGGGAATCGAACCCGCGACCTGCGGGTCAGCAGCCGAGTACCTTAGCCACTAGACCACCGCGGCGGGGCGGCAATTCATAGAGCAGACCGCAACGATCACATTTTCTGTATATTACAGCGCTGCCTGCCATGCAGAGCCTCCATGCAGAAAAACAATTCCTACGCACCTTTTCTACACTTGACCAACTTCTTCCATGCGCAGTGACGTCAAGTCGCCAATCGGTGACTTGGCGTAGCATGCAGCTCGTCAATTGGTCTAAACCAGGTCTCAACAAACAGTAGTGAAGTAAACGACAGTTCCTATTGCCACCCACAGCAACGACAGAGTTATTCAATCATACGAGTTGTGAAACTTCCCACTGGCTCCACGTATCGAAATCCCGACACGTCACTGGCCTAGTTTTTGGGAGTGAGCCAATTTTCACGCCACCAATTGATCAGCACACCAACTATGAAACGCATTATTTGTGTGTTGTGCTGCTGCTTTCAGACAGCACAACAGTCTCCAACTCCCGAAAAATCGGGCAAAGTGCATGTCCGGGTTTTAGAACACAGTTTCACTGCAAATCGTTGTCGACTGCGAATCGAGCGACTGGGCTCCCGAGAAGCATCGGCACCGGGTGAACAGTAAACAGCCAGGTATCTCAGCAAGCAAAAGTGCCTTGCGACTGATCTAGTTCACTGATGACGTCAATTGCTGACATCGTGTCACTTTGCCGGAGAGGGCGGAGTCACGACGACAGGCTACACCTTCCCCTTTCTACGAGAGATGGGGTGGCGAGACTGAACGAAAATTAAAACCAGCTGCAAGCAATGTTGTAACCCCTGTAACTTCCCTAATATAGCACGTATTCCCGAAATTTTTTGCGACAGCATGTTCACGAAGTAAAAGTGCACATTTCTCTTTATAACAATGTTAAGGGTGAAGCGTCTGGTCTCAATACCTTCTGCCTCACCCACGGTGTAGTCACATATAAACAAGCAAATGCACAATAAGCTTCACAGTATATCGGAGATGACTGCAGCGTAACATGCCTCTAATATGAAAAGATTCCATTTATATGCACAGCAAAGGCCTTTTAGAGCCTTTTCGAAACACTCATTGGGTAACTACCGAAAGCTCCATTGTTTGATACCCACTAGGTCATTATTAATAAACTCAATTGGACAGTTGGCCGGGAATCGCTATGCTATTTTAAAACCTTCTTTTGAAAAGTGTGGAATCCGCTAAACCCTTGCAAGGAATTATGTGGCAGTTGTTCATTCAGTGCCTGACACCGATGATGAATCATGGCTGAAGTGGGTATGTGCCACAGGTTAATAGGGGAACAAGAACAAGCTTTTGCAATGGGTTGGAGCATTGGACGGCCGCTCATTAAGCTATTCGCATTGTGCGACGACTGGTTCTTCTTTCACTGTTTTAAAACGCATTATAAGTCGTATTACTGCGATTGCTTTCCCGACACTGCGGCTTAACTACGGCTTAATCAAGTGAAGCTTATTATTTATTTCTGTGTCCCACAAGCGTTGCTAGTGGCTTCGCAGTTTCTTACGTAGGAAGGGTTTTAGGTCTGTTGCAGGGACAGTAGCGGTAGGGTTAATAGCGTGCAATATATTTGACATGGCCATTTGGTCAGCTAACACATTGCCCTCGATACTTCTATGGCCAGGTACCCAGCAAATAATAACATGCTGGTTGGACATATACGCAGTACACAGGACGAAATACAACTCAATTATTACCGGATTTCTGAATCTAAAAAGTGATCTTAATGCATTTATGATGCCTAATGAGTCTGTAAATATAATTGATTTTTTTATGTTTGATTTCCGTATATGCTTCACAGCCGACAATAGTGCATAACCCTCAGCTGTAAATATACTTGTTTCTGGGTGCAGTACACCGGATTCCAAGAATGATGGTCCGACGGCTGCATAAGCCACCCCTGCATGCGACTTATAAGCGTCGGTATAAAACTCTACGTATGAGTAGTTGGACTGGAGTTGTCGGAAATGCATTTTAATATGTGCTTCTGGTGCGTGTTTAGTGATCTCGACAAATGAGGTGTCACAGTGTATAAGCTGCCACTGCCATGGCGGTAAAAGTTTCGCTGTGGACGTAGGACAAAGTTCTAGCAGTGGAACACCCATTTCTTCACTTAAGTTTCTCACACGCAAAGAGAACGGCTTTCTCACTGCGGGTCGATTATGGAAGAGGGTGGCAGCGGTCATATCGTTTATAGTTGAATAAGAAGGATGCTTGATGTTTGCGCGTACCTTTATAAAATATGTGAAACTGCTATAGGATCACTGCAGGTGAAGTGACCACTGATTCGACTCTACATAGAGGCTCCGGATCGGACTTGTCCTGAAAGCACCGGTTGCAAGTAGGATACCCAGATGGTGAACGGGGTCTAGGATTTTTAATGCACTTGGCGTTGCGGAATGATAAATTATAGAGGCATAATCAAGGCGCGACCCGACAAGGTTTTTGTACAACTTCAAGAGGCACTTTCGATCACTACGCCATGTTGTACTAAATAGGAGTTTTAGGATGTTCATCGCTTTCAAACATTTCATTTTGACATATTTAATATGGGGAATAAATGTCAGCTTAGAATCAAAAGTGGTTCCCAGGAATTTATGCTCGCTGCTCAAAAAGAGTTGGTCTCCCTTGATCGCAACATTTGCTAGTGGCATTACCCCTCGTTTGTTGGAGAGAAGTACGCAAGTACTTTTCTTGGTGTGTATTTTAAAACCATTCTCATCCGCCCATTTAGAGAATTTATTCATTCCAAGCTGCACTTGTCGTTCGCAGATAGGCATATTGCATGATTTGAAACTCATCGGCACATCATCAACATACACAGAAAAAAACATCGCGCTTGGAATGCCTGACTGCAGAGAGTTTATTTTTACAAGAAAGAGTGTGCAACTAAGCACGCCCCCTTGTGGAACACCAGTCTCTTGGGTAAATGATCTAGAGAGAGCATTTCCCACTTTTACGCAAAAGGTTCGGTTAGGCAGATAACTTTTTATTGTGTTTAGCATGTTCCCATGGCGGCAAGATCGCGTAGAATCCCGAATCGCCATGTGGTATCGTACGCCTTCTCTAAGTCTAGGATTACGGAAAGTACAAACTGCCTATGAATAAATGCATCTCTGATGTATGCCTCTATGCGAACAAGGTG